TACTTTAGTCAACACTGTCATTCGGTGATGTAAAGGGCTTCTTCGACTGCCTCCATCTCAGCAGAGTCAAGTCTCCTTGAAAACAACGAATGTGTCCCACGGCGTCATCTTGCACTCTCGTGGTACTTCGAGAGCTCGTGACCGTGGGGATATGACCAATTGTGCTGAACCCTCATAAATGCCTGCTTGTTCGCTTGTCTGTGCTTCGTGGAATGTTTTGCTAATCACGTTAGGACTGCTTTAATACCTTACGCCAGCTGTCAGTGCCGTTGCTTTCCACTGTTTATGCTGGCGCTTTCTTTAAAATAGCAGTCAGAGTTACCTGTCCATTGACACACCATCATAGATAGCTGGCACTATCCACGCATTCCACGCCCGCATAGTATGCAGCAGCCGCGTACATACTTTGCGCTAAATCGTTGGATGAAAAGCAGATTTGAGAAAAAGCACAGACCATAGACGGTAGGAAGCTTGACGGCAGTTGCTCATGTAGAGGAGATTCACTCCCCTCATAATGACCTTGACATTCTTGGCACTAGGACCATTTGGCTTCAAATGGCGCCAGCTCAGCGCCACGGCTGCTTTCTCCAATCACGGTAAATTTGTGTATAAGGGTTGTTTGGTACCCTGATTGCGATACAACTTCTGGGTGCTATAGCCTTCTTAGGCGCAATTTCAGCTCTGCTGCCTCTTCTCGGTGATAAGGTGAAAAGGCCTAAACGCCTAAAACTAAGCCCCAAAGGAGTAGCGATTTTGGGATGGGAGACCCTCCTCGCTGTAAGGCAGTACATAGAGTGTTGTGATATCATAGAGAAAGCGCCCAATCCATCCCTCACTCCCCTTCCCTCCCTCTTGGCTTAGTTCAACATGCGCTCTTACAAGTTTCAATTGAACTTATATTGCGAAAAGGGATCATTTTAATTTTTAGGTTTCTTGGGAACTGCTTTTTCTCCAGTTAAAGCTGATATCAATGGTAATGTCGTCAAAGTTCGTACGCGGTTCGAAAAGGATCGGATAGGTAATTTTAGATACGCGTTTTTTGAGTCAGTACTGCCAACTGCTGTCGAATCTGTTCAGGTCAACGCTATTTACAAGATTTGATAGACAGCGATCTAAGAGACCACGGAGGCAATCTCGGAATCGCCACTGAAGGTCTTCTGTGGTTGAAGAGGTTAGTTAAAAAAAAAGGTCCTGTATTTTTTCCTTCTAGGTGGACTTATTTTCAGAGGACTCGAGTTCATGCTGGAAATGCTCACATTGATGGTGCAGGAGTACAGATCTACGCCAGATAAAAGTAAGACGGAAAATCTAGTCGGAGTCATCAATAAGGCATACGAAAAATCACTCAAACGCCATCATGGATTCATGTCAAAACAATTATTTAAGGTAAACATTTTCAGTTTGAGTGAACATTTGCTACATTTCTTTTGTTCTATTCAGCTAACAAAAATAGATATCAAATTCAAAATAGAATGCAACATAAAATACCGCACAAGAGAACGATATATTAGCAGATGCATTATGACACTAACGAGCAACAAAAAAGAGACGGCTTAGACAGGAAAAACGTTTAAAAAACAAAGTAAATTTAGAGACACACATAGACCAAAGACCAAATAATAAGAAGAATGTCCACGAACAAAATTAAAATGATTGGAATGTAATGGAACAGAAAATGACATAATATACATTCTCAAAAACTGAAAAAAAAATAAGAAGACTACAACTTACTTGACATAACCTCTGATTGCAATAACAAATATAAAAGTGGTCAAAGCGCAATAACTTGTCTCAAAGGTAATATAGCATTGAATCAAATTGGGATTGAAGGCGTGATTCCTGTGATTTCATTCTTCCCAGGTACTTGCTATCGCGATTCATAGCTATTTTGTGGCCACGATTTTTAACTAATTTGATCTCGATTCATAGGGTGCCAAAAATATTGTATTTCATTGTGCGTGCTTTATTTGTACAAATGAAGGTTTGCGCCGCACAATATCATACAGCTTCTCCGATTGTGTCTCGGTGAACGTTTTATTTTCTAGACCAGCCTTTCAAGCGTTCGATCTTCATCTGCGGAGTCATCGGACCTTGGCCTTTTCCTTGCGCAGGATTCATGTGAGTGTTGTCTTCCGTGGATTCGCTTGTAACATCTCCTAAGTGAATCTCCTCTCACATCACTGCTAGAAGTTGAAGGTTCCTGCGTGCTCACTTGACATGCCTGAATTAGAACATGACCTAAATCATTTCGAAGGCATACCAAACTAACTTGATACGCTAAATGAGAAAAATTTGGTAAAATTCCACGAAGTATTGTAACTAGAAGCTCTCACCTCCACCTTCCCTTCCCCTCACAAATAGCTATCATAAGTAATATTTTCTTCACTGATCACGCGCATTCAAGAAAACTAAGATACAGAACATACCACAATCCAAAAATGCACTTATATTCTCAGTGATTTGCAAAAAATCTCCGCACGGCCTGGATCTTATCCATATGGACATGTTCAAGTACGCCTTCTTAAACGCATCGTCCCGTCATTCTTTTCTGCGAGGACCTGGATCAAGCCGTAGCTAAATACAGCCACCATGCAATAGTCCGCATTCGAATAATAATCCACAACAGCTTGTACAGAACCAATACATAGTAAGCAACATGATTGATCAAAAGTGACTTATATTGTTCGGTTGCCACCTCAAAACGCGCAGTGGTATAATGCTAAAATTGAAAGGAAGGTCTTTCGTCGACTTTACCACGTACTATGAGCCTTGGATGAGAAATATATTCTGGGCTTTCAACTTGCGTATCTCTTTCTGATTCTCTGAACTACCAGAAAGAAAATTAGGCAAAGCCTTAAAGTTATTACGGTATTAAATCATCACCTGTGTGCACACCAGAACCAGTTGTCGTATACAAGATTTGAGGGATATTATCTCAGCACTTTGTTTACGAATGATTTTGTCTTGCTGGGCCAATTTATCCGTAACGTTTTTGCGCCACTCACAGCTGTCCACGTCTCTGGAAAGATTTAAGTAGAAATCGAAAAAACTGCATGGAATTTTTTCCTTGCTTTCCCGCAGCCCGTTCTCCGTGGAACGGGTTGCGAGAGAATTGCACGGAACGAAGCCCATCTAGGTCAAACCCGTCATGGCCGGACTGTTTTTAACTCAACCTTTAACAATTCGTAACCAGCAAACATTTGTAACGGCAGGATTCCTCACTACGTAACCCTCAGAAGTAGTTAGGGTTAGCCCGGTTGGGTGGATAGTTGCCTCTAAGGGCATGCGCGTCCAGAGTGCGCAATTAGGTGCGGTGTGAACTAAGAACTGTCTTTGAAGCATAATCCTTCACTTTGATTCTATTATTGAAAGGCCCAGGCATGAAAGCCCTCACGAACATTGGATCTACGATTTCTATCTGCAGCAGTGAACTGTGCCATGTTCTTTTAATAAAAGACATTACGATAAATCAATTTTAAAATGTAGCAGTAAAGATTGATGATAAGATAGCCGAAACTGGTATCATTTAGATATACTTCCGTTTCCTCATGAACGAGATTCTACTGGTAGGAGATGGTAATCCAGTGTGAAGCTTGCATTTTCATCTATCTCTTGCGCGCAAGCGCAACTACACGCCAATGCTAATTGTATGCTGAAGTTGCCCATTTGAGGCGGAGAGCTGCCATTGGAGTAGCCATTCAACCTATTAGCTGGAAGTCGCTGCAACAAGAACAGTATAAGATTTTGCGGAGCTGCACTGCACCGCAAAACCTTGCGCTCATTACTTCATCCTTGCTGATTTATATAGCAAGCATATTCCTCCTCATTAAAGATTCACTTCATTGCTTGCTTTCAATATGGTAAATGGAAACATTGGGGAAATCAAAACTAGAACGCCTACCTCAGTGACGATGGCGTCTGTATTGAAGGGCGAAGTAATGGATGTACGGACATGAAGTACGTCGAGGACAGGGACCCAGTTGTACTAGTGCTGAGCGAAGGTGCACATGCTCCTCGAAAATGTTCCATTGCCATGCTGAGAAGATAATGTGTTCGATACGCACAAAATTGAAAAAAGGGAATGACCTTGGGACAATGTGAATGTTAATCAGGTAAACGGTTGTGAGTTGTCGGCAGACTGTCATTTCAAGTTTATAATTTAGATTTCCTTGTGCCACTTTATCAAAGATAGAATCAATATGGTATACTAAAATTTCGGGGAAAGGAGAGAGGCATGTTTCAGTCATCATAGCAACGCTACTCAGAACAGACAGGCAAGCATAGTCAAGTAGAAGCTGTCAGAAATTGACAAAAAGTCAGTGTGAAAATGTGATGATTAAATATGAAGGTTACCGCTGCCTACAAAGAATGGCCCGAATTTAGGTAGCAACTTATAATAATATATTTTACAAACTGATAAAAAAATATAAGTATTCATCGTTTGTTTGGATTTTTTCTTAAGCCCCAGCCTGATTCGATTAACAGCAAATACCTGGACAAGTCCCTCAAATCTTTTAGAAGCTCATGGATGTCTATAGCCAGCGTTCCTCCTTTATCGTGTGACTTTCTTTTAGAATATCAATTATCCGGAAGAATTCGTCGAGGACCTGTAAGAAAGTGATCATAAGTAGACAAAGGAAGTTAACTAGGTGAAAAACAAACCTTTCCTGGTATGAAACAGGTGACCTTCATATCAATGAATTTTCTATAGGTCATGGCCATGATGGAAAATCGTGTATCCAAACCGGCGTAGGCATCATTAAGTCTTGAAAGTCGGTGAGACCTATGTAATCACTATTAAGTTGAAGCATTCAGAATATACTGATTGTGAGAACCCTTAACTCACCTCCTCATTGATTCTCTTCTGGGTAATTCTCTTTTGATTCGCAACTTCTCCCTATCTATATCAATTCCTAACTGTTGAAAACCTCTATTAAGCAAATAGGAGCATAGTGTGTTCAGTAATTTGCAAGTCTGCAAAGAAGTCATCGAATAGAAACTTGTTAGATAAAACAATGACTCCCACGAGGGAGAGAAATGCAAATGAGCTCCGATAACTAACCCTCCTTATTTTGGCAATGTCGTCATATGACAAATATTGTAAAATTGTCATCTGCAGTTCATTAGGAAGATGTATAAAGCGCTTTGGACCATCATCAGCTTCCTCGCCAGTGCTAGGTTTTATTGCATCACTATCTCTACTTGACGCGGGATGGTCGTCTTTATGATCTTGTGATTCACGAGCAAGAAGACGTGGCGTCTAAATAAGAAAAAGTCTCTTTTAAGGCAAAGTACACAGCATTGTCGGTTTATTTTCGTCACCTAAGAGTTACTCACCGCTTTTTGATGGGAAATCTTTTTGAACAAATGCATAGCTGTGGTGGGATGTACAATGGCAGGTAATGAACCTTCTGAAATTATCAGTGTTGGCAAAAATGATTCTAGAGTTAATAAGAGTGGATGTAGCATGTGAGTGCGAACGTCTTTCTGCAGCTATAGAAGTTACTTTTCAGAAATGGTCTTTCGTTTTCTACGAACACTGCTCAACGATGAGAGGGTGATTCAACAGGTAACATTTCAGAATACTCCATTAAGTAAAATATTCCTTTTTTGTATAAAATGGACGGTAGTACATGTTGGGTATGTAATACTGCCAGAGGGAATCTGATGAGCTATGAAAAAACAGCCTGTATACCTTCGTGTAACTCTGTCTACCCAAAGTTTCGATGTTGCTTTCATGGTTTTCAGAGGCCGAAAGATGCCCGAGGCTAATGACGAATATAAAAATTGAGCTCTATTTTAAAGTGGGTGAAAAAAAAAACACCGGGATGCGTAAACATTTCACTTGAGAAAATTGGACTCCACGCATTTCCGAACATAAGCGGCATCTCACATCAAATACTGAACTGTTATCAAGCGGAAATGTGCCTTCTGCTGTACTCGTACTATAAGGGATGCGTCCAAAGCTGAAGAAAAGACAAAGTTGAGCATTCCTTCCGGGTAATGTTGCATCAGGGGTGGGCACAGCATAATCCGATTTGAAAAGGTTCTTTCGAAATACAAAGTCCTCCTAATTTCCGTACTGTTTTCAAACCGAAGCTAATTGCTCGATTTGCTGGTTGCGAATTCGAATTGCTGGTTTTCTTTTTCGGGGAATTGTCAAGCAAGAACGGGAGGGGGCGAAGAGACTACGTGCAGACAACAGCTGCAGCAACGGTTAAAAACGAAAGGAACGGGAGGGGGGGGTTAGGGGGCTGATTAGCCCAGCTCGTGCGCTAAAGTGTTAGCACAGAATGGGTGAATGAAGCGTATAAAAGTGAGGAAAGATCTGATGTCATGCCGAAGTTTCAAAATCTATACTGCGAGTAATTATTGGCATCAACAAATTTTTATTTTAGCTGTCAGAGTCCCCTCCTATACGCGCACTCGCTCGAGCAATGGTACGTGGAGGAAAAACAGTCCAGGACAAGCTCGGTAACACGGAAGTTGCTTCGCGACTGGAGAAGTTTACAAAGCTCTACCAAGAAGAATTCCAGAAAGCACTGAAAAAATAGCTCGAGTGAGGTGTATGCAGTCATAGAATAATATGGGTAGTAAATAAAGAATTCTGATCAAGTGCAAATAATATTCAATTCAATGAGAAAGACATAGTGGCCGTGAGTTGCCCTTAAACGTCAACCGCAACATTGAAAGTGAAATTCAATTTATATTTATTGTATGTTTTATTATCAATCTTTCCATCGATGACCACATTCAGCATTTGCACAACGATAAAATATTGTCATCGGTTCATCAGCCGATCGCGTTTGTATTTGCATGAAATACGCACGATCATTTGAACATTTTGGACACCTCTCATTTGTCACCTGTAAAAGAAAAAATTAAGCAAATCCAAACACCAAACTAGCCTCATACCAACATTTTTGAATGACGGAAAGCATTTTCCATAAGTCAATCTAAAAATTAGGTGGATCTGAAACTGCTTGAGCAGAATCCAAATCAAAATTGAGCATCAACTAGCAAATCCTCAACAGAATCATACTCTTCCTGTGAAGGTGGAATTAGCCGACTATTCATTTCGGCCCGGAGGACTGACAACCCACGCCCACTTCGGAGCTGCTCGCTTCCTTTCTAGCGGCTTTCCAAGGTACGTTTCTTGTTCAGTTACACTTCTTAATGTTCTCGACTACGGGTAGCGCATCGTTCTACAGCATTTGTGTCGAAGGTAAAAACCCTGACGAGACTCTTTGCTTTAAAGCATTAGTCCCAGCAGGGTGGGCGTGGTCGGAAACGACTGCGATCCCCTCGGCCGATTCCGACCACGCCACATCACTCCCTTCCTAAGTGGCTTTAAAAAAAGTGGAGTTTATTTGCTTTCAGTCACACTTCCTACATTCTTGACCAGGGGCTGAACAGCTCCGAAGTGGGAATCGGCCGAGGGGATTGCAGCTTGCAACCACGCCCACCATGCTGGGACTGTTGCTTTATATAACGAATAGTTCCGCTTAGTTTACTTTTCACTATCAGCCACCATTTTTTTTATGAATTATTCGCTCCCTTCCCTTCAGTAAATCCACTAAATTTATTTCTTCGTTCGCTAAGGTGACCATCTTTTCGGAGTTTCCTCCACTTGGGCGAACTTCATATAAGAATAGATTTGCAATTTTTCCGATAAAAGCATTGCTTTCATCAGGTCATCAACTACTTTATTCTCGCGGGCGTTGAGAAGTACGGTAATCACTCATACTATCCCCTCAATATACTTAGTATCTTTGAAGTAGCATCGGTGAAGAAGAGGATGGGCACATCACTGGTGTAAATGTATAACCATTCTTGCGCAACAAGAAGAACAATGCTAAGAACTCGCCGCCTAGCGACATATCCTCTCCCTTTCCCCTCTACAAGAGATGATCATTCAGGGGAAGCTTTTCAAACGGGTTTATGCTGCTGTGGGGGCTCCACGTGACTACAACATAATGTTCATTTTACGCGTCTGACGGCCCTTTAAGATTCAATCAATAGTGAAAGAAAATTTATTCCAAGTTTTAATCCGTATTGATGGCAGAACTTTTGTACTCCAGATTGGAGCTTCCAAATTCGCTTCAAATAGCGCCAGCAGTAATACTAGGTAGTGTCCATTATCAAGACCATCAATTGGTATTGCATTCAAACTTTTACCAGAATCTTGCGGAAAAGTCGTACTCCAGAAGGCCTCAAATGGCACCAAGTGGCGTAAAATTGAGCTACCCCGAAAAAATAAAACGATGACATAATCTCGTGATCAGGACGCTCGATATTCCTTAAATTAGAAATTTCGAAGAAAATTGAGATTTTGACCTGGATCTGAAGAGCTGGTCATCGATAAGCCTGTAGCTCATAGGTTCCTCGAGCCGGTGAACAGAGAAACGAGTTTTGCTATTCTTCTCAAATAATGAGAAGTTTACTAACTACTGAGTGGACAATGGCAGACATCCAGGCTGGTAATGGACAACAGGTACGCATGTTGCAGAAGTCAGCAGCTTCTTCCCTCACCAAGATGTGGTATATTGGGTCCACAGCCCTTCCACCCGCAGGGCTTCTTCTCGAAAGCTGGAACGACTCCAAGGTCTGCGACGTGGTGGAGGATGTTCTCTATGGAACCGAACTTTGATTCCGTGAACAACAGGGCATTCCGCTTGATTTCCGCGCCGCGCACGTCTTCAAGTCGCCCGCCGGCGTGCATGACGACCTGTAGCCCATGGTCACCCCCCTTTTTCGAAGTTAGGTCAAAATCTCGATCTTCCCTGAAATTTGATTTGCGGTCCTGATCACGGATATGGCGTTCGCTTTTGACGTCGGCGCCATTTGGCCTGCGAATTATTGCACCACTTTTCCATAAAAAACCATTTACAGGAGCTGCTGATGATTTTGATTGTAAATATAGCTAGGTGTGTAATAAACAATGTGAGACCTCAATTATTATTGCGGAAGACCCCCCAGTTTTTAGACAAGAAGTTGCAAAAGCAATAACAGCAATCAAGTCATAAAGTTCGCAATAAAGAATCGAAGTCTCATATTACTTATTACACATTTGGATTAACATGAGACTTCGTGACAGAACAATTCTAAAGTAAATATAGCGTTAATTTCGAAGCTGGAGCAATTTGGCGCTGATTCGGAGGTGACAATCAAAAATGCAAAACACATCATTGGAGCGAAGTCCAACCACAAAGTCCCCTCTGCCGTGCCATCCTAGTCCGCCACCCTATTCACTTGACCATTATTTCCCTGCGACGGGTGGGATGCCGACGACACTCAAACCTCCACACTTTCTTCAGCACTACCACTGACAGACTTCAATTTTGAGCGAATTTCACGTTGTTTTCGATACCATCTTCATCAGTACCCTTCAATATGCAGGTGATCTTCTTCTACAAGTCCGAAACGTCACTCCAAGGCTGTAAAAACCACCATTCTCAACAAACATTTTTCGACCCTTTTTGACGTTTGGGGGCCGCTAAGCGAAAAAAAAAACAGTATGGTAGTCCACGTGAGAGCCCCTACAGCGTGGCTAAGGCCATTCTGAAAAAGCACTACACTCTGAAAGACCTCCCTTGTCAGCCGATGCGACTGTTACCTTAAAATCACAAATTTATGTAAGATATAGTAAGTAGTAGAAATAGTGCGTAAGAATAGGAGCAGCTCCTGGTATGAATTACCTGGGCGTTGTCCCATACTGACGGTCCTCCAAGAACTTCTTCCAGATCTTTAAGCTTGGGATAGATACGACTACTTACCTGAACGGAAGAGAATTACTCCTTCTCCCAAAGAACAACAAAAGCTACTTACCTTTTTTGTTACTGGACAAATATACGGACATGCAGGACAGGAAAATTGCATACAGGAATCACTTTCTTCAATTTGCAGCATTGATCCACAAAAGGGGCAAAAAACTAGCATATTCTATGAAAAGAAGCTCTACGGAGCTTAAACAAAATAATCTAAACAGCTAACAATTGAATAGTCATTTGAAAACCAAACGGAAGCATAAGGTTCAATGTGTGGGAAAATACGAGGAGATTCGAAAAACTCTTTATGGCGTGGAGCTTGTGTTTCGTGCGACAACAAAAGAAAATAGAATGTTTATCGACTCTACACCTGCACATATCTACTTTTATGTTACTGGAAACCGCCACCCTTCGGCTTGTAGCCAAGCTTACGAGCAACTCCATCATACACTGGTGAATTGTCACCGAACGCAACGAATCTAGTAGCGTAGAAGTCTTTTTGTGACGCAACTGAAAAAGCAAACGCTTTTTGTTGCACATTAGGTGGAAAAAAAACTTCTGCTGAAACATCATTTTTTTCCAAAAAAAAAAACTGAATTCGATCAAAGTTGTCACACTCACAATACAATAATGGGATTTGCTGATGAGCCACCCGGAACAAACACAAAAATTCTTTCAAATTGTAACCTCTTTATGAGATCCGTCACAAATTGGTCGAGTTGTAGTTTGTTTGCAGTTGCACATATAATATTCGCCACTTTTCTCGACCTTCATAAAACAGATTTTCGTCAGTTTTAGGACTACACCTGATTGTTTTCTGTTACCTGGAATCTGACGGGACGCGCTTCTGTGGCACCTTCCATTTTATGAGCGCCATCGCAAAACGGCTGAAAAAAGGAAAAAGAGCCTCAAGCTGCAACCTGAAGTTGGATATCGCCACGAAAAAGAGGGTGCTAGACAATCAACACACGTGAACTCCTCATGTTTACAAATAGTCTTACGGTAGCCTGTGTTATAGTTTGGAGAACACAAAAAACGAAGCATTTAATGCACGAACTTCTTATTTCCGTCTATTCATTGTACACTTTGCAATGTAGAAAGTTCAAGATTTACTTAAAGGATAAGTCAAGTCCAAGAAGGATACACTTAAGGCTAGTGAGAAGTAAGCGGACCCCCCCCCCCCCTCCCCCTCCAAGGGTACGGACCGACAAGCAATTCGCAGCGAAGGCTATGCCTTCGGCGATCTAGCATGGCCGTCCGCGCGCCGCGCGCCGCTATCGACACAGCACGTACACCAACTGACTAACCACTGCCCGAAGTTCTCAAATCGTTTAGCAATTTTACTGTTGAAGATCAGTACCATCAACGCGGAAATCTACGGGCGAAGGAAAAGAACCCATTTCTCGAGCCTGAAGCCGTTTCTTATGGTTTTTTCATCCCGGCACCACTGACAACTTCTACCTCAATTCTAATGGGATGCATTCTAGTCGCAAGCTCTTCTACAAGATTCTTTCTAGTATACTTAACACGAGCTGTTACATCGCACCTTGACTTGTAATTAGGCTAAGTCCACACACATGCAAAACTGGAAGCTTAGCAAATTCATGGAAAGTTTTCATTCGTATCGAGAAAAATCATGGAGTGGATATGGTTGCCAGGGGTACCCGACAAAAGGCCAGTCACGCGGCAAGAATGTATACTCGGCGGACGAGGGCTCCCCCACTTTCTTCACGATTTGGGGCGCGGCCGCGGCGAGCGCGGACGAGTTGGTAGTGCCCGCGAACTGTGCGGGTAGGTTTGAAAACACTCCATCAGCACAGTTCGCGGGCACTATCAACTCGGCCGCGCCCCAAATCGTGAAGAAAGTGGGGGAGCCCAACGAGTCGCACCGCGTACTGTGCGATGTAGGACGTAGAAATGTACATTCTATTTAACTTGACGCGAAATCACTACAGTACGCGCTGCGACTCGTCCGCTGACTCTGCCTTCTTGTCGCGCCACGGGCCTCCTGTCGGGTACCTGATTGCCAGCGCACACTACTGTGAGTTTTTGTGGAACATCCCTATTATATATCAAATGCTGTGTGTGTCACGAAACTCATAGCGCACGAACCAGCAGTCATCGGGAGCCAATTCTGAGATATGCTATAGAAGGCGGGAGGGGGTCAACAGCGTTGAGGAGCTGTCCCTTAGAAATGATGTAGAGGGTGGGAAGGAAGCAGGTATGTGAGGGGGGAGGGGGCAGAGAGACATATTGATAAGAAGTGATATGAACGAGCAGCTGGAGGACGGGAGAGTCCCCAAAGTCGATCCTTACTTCCTCATCGCGCATCTTATCTACTTATCTAAATCGGAATCTTTTCACAGCTAACCTTTCCAATCTTCAAAAGGGTTCATAAAAGCATGATATGCTGTTAGGTGTTTCTATTGCAATATCATCGCCACCAGAAGCTAATTCAACCGCTCAACCTTCCCAGCATCCGAACCATGGTAGTTGTTTACGCTAATGGCTGACAGTAAGCAGTCCAAGTAGTTGTGTTAGTTATCCAAAGCTTATTCGACCGCTAGAAAATGTTCCTTTCCGGAAATGATGGATGTTTATGAGTATTGACGAGGTAAATGATACTGCTTATCACCACACGTCAGAAACCTTCACACATCAAAACACCTCATAAACAGCATACCAGTTGCCACATTACCAAGACCGCTGTGCCAGCACTAAAGCTACTTCAAGGCGCGTCTGAGCAGATTCAAAATGGAGTATAAATGGCAATGAGCATCGAAAGAGTCGACAAAAAGTTTTATGAACTTCCTCGAAATCGATGTAAAAGCACAGAAAAAGAAAAATACCAATGAAATGCAACTCCAAGATGCAGAAAAGTCTCACCACCGTGTCTTAACTACCCGCGCTCGCACGAACCATGTCCCCAATATAACGAACTGCCAATCCGAGAGCAACCTGACGAGCTGATTATAATACGCCACGTCAGCCCAAGTCGGTGGCTCAGGGCGACCATCGCCGGGGCGCAGCGATTTCTCTCGGGGTTCCCCCCCGTACAACTCAACCTAGAAAGCCTGAACTGACGAGGACGAAAATTCAGATCCTGATTCCTCCTTCCCTGCCCGAGGCTTCCGACCCGCTTACCAGCGAAGAGGAAATGCCTACACAAAAAACGCAAGGATCGCGGCGCGACGGACTGCCCCGCGCGCACATTGCGCGCGAGTCTTACTCGCTGGTTACAGCTCCGCTATATGGCAAAATCCAACAGTATAATTGTCATTGAGTCACTAACCAAAAAAAGCAAAGCAGTTTAATAAGCAAAAATGGAAACCCGATAACTAAGTGGACCCCCAACAAATGCGCGAGAGATTCGATGTGGTCAAAAAAAACGACTTTTCCAAGTTTGACAGCAACAGCCCCTAAAAAATTCCCGCGCAAGACTTCAGCTCCACCGCTGATATATGGATGGACTGAAGTTCTCGCACGAAAACTCTCTGCGCCGCGAAACCCGAAAAAGTCCATTTCATGTCTAGGAAACTTCCTGAGGGATCCGAGCGGCGAGAGGTGAGCCCCCTTCATAAAAACCTCAATGGCGATGTCTTCAGAATTTGCCCAAGGAATCAGCTGCAGCGAGTTATGAACACATCCTCATATAGTTAGTTCGAAAACGCGTCACTGTGTTTAACGAAAACAAAACCAATCATAGTTGGTCTGGTGATTGGGCAGGAAGAAACCGTGCCGAGCGTTAGGACTCCCTATTGAGCCATATCCACCAAAAGAATATTCTTGGTCAGTATGGGTCGCAGTTACTCAACTTCTCAGAAGATGAGTTATCAAGTAGTAGTTGGATAACATGGCAAAGATTTACATGCGATTTCTCAAAGAAAGAAGCACTGTCTAAGTGAGCATTTTTACAAATTCCAATCGAAGTTCATGTCAGGTAACTGATGGCCAAGGGAAGGATGGTAGGTTGAGGTGACCGTATGGAATGAAAAAAAGCCACCAGATGCGTCTTCAGACACTAATTTCAAATCTGACGTACATATCTGCTGCGAATAGAGTCATGGAGATTTTTCGCCATACGTAGAGGAATGGCCTAACGGTATGGAAGATTTGAAGGATCACCTTCAAGTTTTGATCAAGGATTCGGAGTTTTTTTTGGCTTTCTTAGTGAAACCTTGACAGGAAGTATGTCGTCACAACTCTTTCTTCATTGCTCAACATAGGCTTGATGATTTTTCCGTCAAACTTTCTGACTTTAACCTTCAGGAAATCTAGTTTGCAAAACATATATGAGGCCTTCTCATAAATGGATATAACGTTCGTGTTCGGGAGGTAAGCTCTCATGGTAAGGGCCTTTTCAATCAAAACCGTTATCCTTACGACGGAATAAAACAGGGATCCATAGGTAGTAAAGTCGCTAGAGGCGTTGGTATCTTCGGCTTTAAACGCCAGACCGCATTTGCAATACATGGGCAAGTATGCTGTTGATGTTCAACTCCCTCTACATAAACAATTGAAAATTCCAATCTCAAATATAGCACTCACTTCTAGCGCCGCCAGTTTGACGCAGCGAATCGCTGGATTGGCGAAGTATACCGGGCTTGAATTGTTATGTAGAGCAAAAAACGGCGACAATAAATTTATTTGTAACAAGGAAGAGGGGAGAATAGCGTACGGCGGAAGGAAAGGCCGAGGCTACTTCTCATATGAAGCAAGCAAATGCTCAGAAAATTCTGATAACTAAATAGCTCAAAACTATTACTACATCTGGATTTAGCTCAAGCCAATCTAAGGAATGTTTCTGCAAGACAGTTTAAGATTTAGTGCGGCTAAATATAATAAAAATAAGGACTGAAAAGAAATGCGGGT